AGAAAAAGAAGGCAAATGAAAATACAAATCGTGCGCTCTCACGTTTTTGCATGAGATTCTTTGACGCTTACGCGCACAAAAAATATCTAGAGTATGGAATTCTATTTTCAGCGATAAACTCGAGAGAATTATATATTTTAAATATAAATATAAATATAGATAAGTATGCGATTGGCTAGTTATTGCAGGTGAGGATAAATCTGCTCCGTTGTGCTGTCATTTGAATGCCCTACGGGCCGGAGCTTTATGGTATTGGTATTGCTAGTAACACTGGGAAGCATTATCTTGAATCAATTAACATGCAAAATTATAATGTATAATTATATATTGTAGCTATAAATATGTACACCTTTTTTATGTAACTCCTCACACCGTTTCGAGTTGCCAATCTTGTTCTAAGACTGGTCTAATTGAAGGTTCATGGACCACGGAAAAAAAAACTAACTGGGTCTCTTCTTAACTGCAAATATATACGCAAATGTTAACTGGAAATATTGGCTATATAATTTTGGAATATTCATAAGTTTATGGTTCTAAAAATTATGTCCAACTAATATTCAAATTTAAATATTTAAACATTTTAAAATTATATAATTTTTAAGATCATTCTGTACCAAATTTCTTCAACATTTCAACTAACTTTAATTCCCTTAATGTGCGTGTATGCTTTAGTTTTATATTAAATCTCATAATTTATTTACAAATTGCGCGATTCCCGATCAATTGCCTAGAAGATCCGTAATGCTCAATCTAATACTCGTATTTTATTTTCATTCAGTCGCTGATTCATCTTATCAGCTGGGTGTCATCTACATATTTACAACGCCTTGTTGAATACCATTAACGTGTCTTTCATTCACCCAGCCACAACGATTGTTTGGTCAGAAGCGTTCGAGTATATATATATACATATAAATACATATGTATGTATGGGGAAACATCATCAGTATCTCCGTATGTTATCGCTTGGGTGTATTCAAATTTGTTCGGCCCACATTGGCTGGCTAGCAGCTGATTGAATTGTGTTGTGTTGTGTTGGCCAGCAACAACAAAAAGCTGCCAATTTGAAAATACTGCAACAAATGTGCTGCCTAAAAATATTATTTATAAAAATTTATGAAAAGCACATTCATATACATATGTATGTAGCCAGCCAGCCAGCCAGCAACGACTAGGCAACGGAGGCAACACCAGGCTGCTCTGTACATAGACCACCACCTTTTAAGGATGCGCCAAGCGACAGAGGCGAATGCCGACGACAGCTTGACTTGACGTTGGCGGCGTGCGCGCCTGTCCGCTTTCTTGACAAGCAGCCGCAACGGCAACGGCAACAGCAACAACTATGGCAATAGGCGACGCAGCCGTGCATTCCACGGCGTATTGCAATTTTTGTATTTTTAAATCAAATAATGTGCCAAGAAAATATTAATATATATGTACATAAATATATTTATGAATTTCTTTGGACAGGAGCTCTACGATTTTAATGTTTAGTTTGCAATTAATTAATTAATTTAATTAAATGCTTGTATTTGGTTCCACAGGGCGTATGACTGCTAACACTACTCGACAAAACCGAACTTTTTTTTTCCTCAAGGATCCAAACCGACTTTTTCTGATAGATATGGGGCTTTAAAATTTTTTAAAGAATTATGGTTTTTTTCTAGGCGACTTTGAGAATTGCTGGATTTTTTTGTTTTTCAGAGTACGAAGTTTTTCCATACTAACACGTGGTGCAGACGCATTTGAGGTATTAAACAGCAGAGTTGAGCCATTGGATTCAGCAACGTCGGGAAAGAATGGAGATTTGTGGGTTCGATTAGGAAATATATTGTCTTTTGAAGGAGGGCGTTTAGTACGCCATTAAAACTAGGAGAACATTAACCAAACCGGAAGACAAAACGGGCGGCGCCACGCCCAGGACAAAGCAAACGAACAAGGGGTACATTGGTACCGACGCGTCATTTGTTCCCAATTGGCAGTTGGGCCCGCCGCTCAAGGGTCTCCAGGTGTACATAGCGCCCTACAGGAGCGAACCTAAACGCGCCACGCCCACACAAGGTGGGCCCATGCCAGGCGGTGCTGCCAAAGGGGGGTGAAAACCATGCCCCATGGTGTTGTCCTAGGGGTGACTGTGTAATGGGAGTCACTGGTTGGTTGCCAGGATTCTATTCAGATATCTAAGAACTTTTTATACACTTGGCAAAGCCACCCATTCACCCATGATTCATTGCCTCACTGAGGTTAGATCGGATGTGTGGCTGTTTAATTTGCTGATCAGAATTCCGTTAAGAGCTCTTCCGGTGCCGTAGATTCATCTACGAGCTCTTGAAAAACACTTTACGAATGCCCACTCGATGAGAAAGACGCTGAAGGAGATCACAAGTAGGCCACTGGAGAAGGCGAACGCCCCATGGAACTGAGCCAAAGTCAGGGCCTTGAAGGGATCCTCGCGCACGCGATTGATCTCCTCATGAATCTTGCGCTTCATGTCCAGGTCGCGGGCCCACTTGTGCATGTGCCCCGACTCGATGATGTGCTGGATGACGGGGTTGATCTGGTGCAGCAAGTGGTACTTCTTGGGCAGCAGCATCGTGACCAAGTACACATAGAGGGACTCCCGGCGATCGAAGCAGAAGAGGCGATCCCGCTGGATGCGTGGATTGTAGAAGGAGTGCTGCCGCGAGACGGCCACGGCTATGTGCTCATTGTTGGCAGCATCATTGAGGCAGTCCACGATGTTGTAGCACATCTGGAACTTTTCACGAATATACTTGAAGATCTGCAAGGGACGGGGAAGGTCAAGGGATCTCTGAGCTACCGCTACCGCCAATAGGCAATCACCTCTCCATCCTTGTTCAGATGGCGAACGTTCTCCGAGCTGCCCATGATGGTCATGCGATGGCTGTAGATCTCCTCCAGGGACTGGATCTGATGCGAGCTGCGCGGAGTGGTAAGCGTGCTTATCAGGAAGCTCTGGTAGGTGTTGCTGAAGAAGAAGCCCATCAGAAAGGCGAGCGCAAAGAGCAGCCTCAGCACCAGAGGCAGCGGATGGGCGGGCATGGCCTGCGTCAAGAGAATGCCCAGCATGCGCAGGCATATGGCGAAATAATTATTGAGATTGCGCAAGCGGAAGCCCGTGACACGCTGCGCCATCAGCACCACAAAGGAGCAGGTGACAATGAAGAGCAGGAGCAGGAAGCCTGCGTCCGCATTGAAGGTGGCCACAAAGTTAAAGAAGCCGTGCTTCCGCTTGGCCCGTGCCACGCACCAGGTGAGGTCGTCCTGGTGGTAGGGAATCGAGCTGGACACGAACTGGCTAATGCTGGGGTCCTCATCGATGCCACCCACAATCATCTCGATTTCGCTGAAAGAAAAAAAGTGCATCTAGGATGGGAATTATTGGAATGAGTATCCGCCTACCCGTCGATTAGCTGCTGGAACAGATGGTACAGATTGCTGTTCTCCGCCTGCATATCGATGTGCACATGCAGGCGTTCCGCAATGGTCTGCACCATCTGGTACTCAATGCCACCGAGCTTGGCCTTGGCCCCATCCGCCACGGCATCTGCTTCCAGTAGGCCGTCAGTGTCCTCCGCGTCTGCATCCGCGTAGCTTTCATCTCCCGGGTCCCCATAGCTGCTTGTCTCGTTATAGTCGCCATCACCCTGCGCGCCGTAGTAGTAGTCCTCGACAGGTTCCTCGCCGCTGCGAAAGATGTAGGGCTCCCAGGGCCGGAATGCGGCCGTTAGTGGACATCCGCTCAGGTCGCGTGGAAACTTATCTTCAAACTTTGCTCGATAGAACTCCTCGATGGTAGCCTCTACTTTGGCAGTGACATTGGAAGAGCTGTTCCCTTCCCCACTCTCAGTTGAATGCTCTGATAGATCTTCATTATTGCTATCCGTTGGTTGAACAGATGTATCCTCAGTGCCACTCTCCGTTGACTGATCAGATTTATCTTCCTTGCTTCTCTGTTCGGATTGGACCTTATTGCTACTCTCTGTGGACTGAGCAGACTCATCTTGGCCTTCATTCTCCGTTGATTGATCAGCGTACTCATCGTACATTCTCATCAGCAGAGCTTTATTGTCAATCAAGTTATCGCCAGATTCCAAGTAGAGATCGCTTCCTTCGTATTCCATTTCGTTGTCAGTGTTCTCTTCACCATTATTTTCTGTATTTTCTTCTGTAATTTCGGTAGCTTCTTCTCCACCATTTTCCCCATTTTCCTCAGCTTCCTCTGCGATTTCGTCTGCACCACCCTCTTCCTCTTCCTCCTCATAGTCGTAGTCTTTGTCGGCCTTATTGGCACTCTGATAGGCGCAGGCATCGAGCAGCTCCACGGCTATTACCCGATTACCGCAATTGTTGTCCGGATGGTAGGGAAACACGCTCTTGCCGTAGTAAAACTCGTTCTCCTCGCTCTGTCCAATCACGTTCACGTTGAAGATCTTCTTGTTCATGAACGTGAGCAGCAGCTCCACCATCAGGTCTGTCATCTCCTCGTCCGTCTCCTCTACCGCGGCCAGGTAGACGACAAACTGGGCGAGTGGATTCCAGTTCAGCATGCCCTTCCAGTAGTCGAACACCTCGTCCAGGTCCTCGTCCTCGAGATTGCCCACCATCAGAAAATAGCATTGCGGCTTCTCGTTCATTACGAACTCAGTGGATGGCGCTGGCCCCTCCCTGGGATTCGTGACCAGCAGAGTCCACGGATATCCCTCATACAAATTCATGCCACTGAGCAGCCGCTCCTGGACATGGTGCAGCTGATAGTTGCGACTGATGCACAGCACCGAGCCGGAGAGACCGTCCCCGGAGTCAAAGTACTTTCGCAGCAGCGCAAGGATGCAGGCGCCCTGTGCTCTGTCCTCATTGGCCACCGCCATCAGATTCATGCCGAACCCATCAACACCTGAAGCCAGCTGCCAGAAGTGGAGCAGCAAGGTCGCCGCCCAAACGGAGCGCCCTATTGTGTGTAACTCTAGTGCGGACATGCCGCAGACAACTGAGCTGCCACGCCCCGGTACATGCCCCGGTACACGCCCCGGCCCAATGGAACGCAGCCATGTCTCGAGGGAGCCGCCGTCTCTGTCATTAAACTCCAATTATGTTAATTTTCAATCTTTGATTCGGCCACAAAAAACAGTCCCAGCCAACAAACGGTCTGTGCGAGTGTTTCTCCCATTCCGCTTGGGCTGTTTGTTTAGTGCCAGTTAGCTGTGCGTCGCGCCTTTTACGGCCCGTCATAGGATCTGTTGTTCCACGTGAATTGCGACAGGCTTTATCTTCGATCTCCCCGAATATGCACTCAGAAAAAATGCGACTGACAAAATATGCATGTATTTCAGTGACGGCAAAGTTGGGACAAACTTTACAGAACGAAAATACACAATAAAAACACTTGAAACAGGAACACAATAGAGTATCTAATTATGGGTGTCAATGTGATTTTTATTCTTAAATATCGTTACGTTTTTTTTCCATCTGCACTATTACCCCCAACAGGGTCCACTCAACTCCAGTCCGATGGTACCATTCATTCCCATGGCCGCAGAGTTTTGTCTGGTTGACATTAAAATTGAAGCCACGCTAACAGCCAGCGGACGAAGCAGCGGGAACAACGAGGCCTGACATTTTCGAGTCATAAATAATGCTGCATCGAATGGAAAGCAACAAAACAATCAAATTGTATCAAGCGTGTGTGTGCTCGAGTTGTAGACGCATAAAAAACCGTCGCCACAGGTTTGTGGCTGCAGATTTTCAATCTAGCAAATTGCTCCAAATGTTTTTTTTTGTATATTATTTTTCATGCGTTTAACATTTATCATAAGCGCACTTTTATTTTTTTTCAATCTTACATCATCGTAAATCGGACAAATTTACATACAACGCAGTGGGTGATTGGCCATAAATAATACCCACAAAGCTGTCAAGTCTTTGCCTATCCGACATCCGTGCTCGTAAATGCAGCATTAACATGAATCAACACGTGCGAAGTGCTAACAATTAACTTCTTAATTTAATTATCTTGTCGCATATATTTTGTTGCATTTGGTTTAATCAAGATGCGATTCCGTTTACATTGTCGTCGCAAGTACCGTACCGCTGCATACTATTTTTTCATTGATGAATTTTCCAATCAAACAATCAACCAAGTCGACTCGACTGGTTGCTGCTCGTAAAAGTTTAGCCCGTTTGCATTGCGTGTTCGTGAGCTGAAAAATATGTGGAATATGTACAGTATTTCAAATACGTTGGCTGCTTGGTTAGCCAATCGAGTCATATAAATTGCTGATTGTTTTTGTCGCCTTCTATTCTTAAATATTCTTAAATAATTCAAAAATCACTTGCTTAGTCGGTATGTTAATTTGTTGAAGTATTTGTATGAGTTTCAGTACTAATGCAGACAAAATGCGACTTTTAATATTTGCTTTTGAGAATTATTTTGGACTTTTAATATAAAAGATAATTAATTCAGTTTTTTACTCCTAAAGCACACTTTAATGGGCAAAGTTAGCCAGAAGAATTCTCATGAATTATCAGAGTACATATTTGATATTTTTTTGGACACAGTAGACCTCTCTTTAATGTAAAGTTTAGCAACAAATAATTATCCCATATGTACATAAACCTCAAATCAGTCGCTAGTTAACCTATCAATTATTTGGGTATATTTTGTTTGCCCAAATCTGTGCTGTGACTCACTTGAAAAAGGTGTACGTGTTTCGATATGCCATATCCATGAATTTCGAGCAATTTATTAGCTTGACGTTGAAAGACAAAGCCAACATGCATGTCCAATGCACTCCGCCCCGCTCAGCGCCACCGCCCGACCAACTCCAGTGGCTCCATTCGCTTTCATGGCCCGCGGAGTGTGGCCAGGGGCGGCCGAGGGACTTTTGGCATAGCGCTGACCTTCGTCAAGAGAATAGAAATACAAACGGGGCATTGGTGGCGGTAGAGTGGCAGGGTCTGGGTATGGGTAACTAGTGGCTACTGTAATGTGGCTACATATTCTCCGACTTATAAGTAGATTGATTTATTGAGTCGAATAATAACTGCCCAACCGCAGCCGTGGCTGGATTTTGTTGGTTACTGCTAGCGTTGGAGGATACTGATACTCGTACTGGATAGTGGATACTGATAATCTGGAGGGTATGGGCATGGGTATCCGCAATCGGCTGAAAATGAAAGTATGCGCCACAAGGCGACTAATGTTGTCCATTGTTGCCGAGGCTGTAGCTGTCTGGGTGTCTGGCTGTCCGATCCGATGCTTGTGGTGGGAAACCGGCTGTTGGTGGCACACCTTCTGCGGAGGTGGAGCCTTCAGCCACACAGCTTTAATTGGTTTAATGGTCTGCATTTATAGAAACCAAAGTCGAGCACTTAAGGAGGCCCATTAAAAGCGCTTAAGAGCCAGCATAGATCTCGATATTAGTTGATTGATATTTCGCCGGGCAGCGTCCATGGCACTTAGAATGGTTAGCACCTACCAAAAGGTCCCAATCCCAAAATACATGAAATACATATTTACCGAATTCATCAAGACCTTGTCCACGCCGCCAAACCTGGTAATGAAACTGTCAACAGGCTCCAAGCTCTGAGCACTGAGCACTCGGATTCGGATTGACTTAATTGTATCCACATTTGTGCGAGCAGAATGCACAAATGAAGCAATTGGACAGTTGGACGACGACGATGACAAGGCATGTGGGGAATGCTAGCTTGGTAATGGAGAAAAAAAAGCAAACCTGAGTCTGAAATATATTTAAATTTCATTTCGTAATGGCAGCAGCAGCAATGAGAGGAGATGGAGATACTTCGGAGCCAACATGAGACATTGCGGCTATTAATCTTCGAGTGTTCATCGTCACCGAGTCATATAGAGCAGACCGCCATAAATCGGTTACTTTCGAAACGGCCACGCGACTAACGAGCGCCGGTCCAGGGTGTTGCGTTGTGTGAAAGGAAATGGAGCACCAACTGTGATCTGGCTTTGATAGCTCTAATACCTGTGAAGCGAGGCAGCAGGCAGCAGGCCCCGGGGGACAGGCAGGCCCAGCCACCTACGTTTCCGCCCTGCTCAGGTGTCGTAACGGTCAAGTGCAGAGCCGGGCATAGGATTACATGGCGTTATGTCACACGCTGGCTAATCGTATCACATGGCACTGGCACTGGCACTGGCACTGGCCACAGCCTTGAACTGTGCTTAGAACCGGTACCCACAATACACACAAATAATATATATTTAGATCGTTACTTGGCATTAAGTGGAGGATACTCTCCCAAAAGCTAAACAACAAAATACCACAATTTAAATAAGAGAATCAAGCAAAGTGAATGGCCAGCTTGGGGCTTGGCTGGAGAACACTCCGCAATCCCTGGTATTTATAATGGCACTGGCAGTTGGAGCAGTTATCAGATGATGATTCTCTGCCATATCAAATACTGTGATTCAAGTAAACAATTCCATGTGTCACAATGCAAACAAATGCCGAGGCAATACGGCTAATGTTAACTTGGCTAATTCTGGCCGCAAACCAGTTTTGTATGTTGTTGTTTTTCGGCTGCAGTCACCTTTTTTGCATAAACCCATAAACTTTTAGCGGCGCTTTTCACGTATTTGGGTTAGCTTCGCGACTGCAAAAATTGTGCAGAGAACCTTTCAAGAGCCCGGACCAGAAACCGAATCCGAATCCGAGTCCACATCGGGCTTTCCATTTTCAATCGAGAGCAAACAAGTTGCTGGCAGGGCTTTCACCTGCCTCTGCTCGAGTTCGAGATCGGCCGAATAAAAGTTGGTCCCTGTCCCCTCCATGTGCTGTTACGAAACCCAGTTCCAGTTAGCTAACTCGCATTGGATCACCTGTCCTGCGCCAGTTGCGAGCTAAAATAAAAGGGAAACCGACTAGGCCCACATATTTATTTGATTTAAATTGAACCAACTGCAAACCAGCAAAGCTAAACCAGCAATAAAGGCTTGCTTAACAGCATGGGTAAACATTTTGGGGACGATGTACATGGCAATGTCCAAACTTATTTAACTTGATACTCGATTCTGCACTCCATTCTGTGGAAAATGGCACCACACTGTTGGCTGATTTATACGAGTAAGTGTACTACAAAATAATGTTTGTGAAAGGCCAATGGCGGGACATAAATCTTGGCTTTGATTCGGTAATTACTTATCAACTGGATGCAGGATACAAATAAGTGAGTGTATAATTAGCAATTTGGCGAAAATAAAATAATTAAATAAATGAGCAGGCCTTTGCTTTGGAACTGGTTGCGGTATTTTGATTGTTGTGCGAGAACATTTAATTTCGACACTGCCCTGTCCTGCCCTTTGCTGCCCTGTCCTGCCCTGCCCTGCCTGTTAATGGCAGTACAATGGACTCCTCTCACTCTCCCGCTCCATTGACAAAACTTTACTCGTAAATTCCCCCGAAATAATCCAAATATTTTATTCATTCGCATTGTTGCGCTGATGGCGGTAATGAACTTGTTAAGAGCTCGGCAATTGGTTAATTGGATCCACTAACAACTGAATTACCAAAAGCTGGCACTGTGCCACCAACTAGCCAGAAACTAGTTGCTCCACCAGAAACAATCACCAAACACAAATCATAATGCAAATGTGCGGAAGACGTGCCGCCAGCCACAAACAAATTTTTCACGCCGTTCAACGGAGCGTATGAGCAATTGGTGCACCAGTGTCCCCCCCACCATGAATATAAGAGATTCAATTCAGTTTTATAGTTCAAAGCATCAGAGCAGTGCCAAAGCCGATACGGAGACCGACTTCTTGTATGATTTAGAGACACTCTTATAAAATTCGGTGCGCCTGACAGGCGGGGCGCAGTCGCAAAACGGCAACCGCAGCGCTCAGACGTGTCGCGGCGATCAGATCGAAAGCAACAAGCACCGCAACAAACGGCAACAACAGGCCCCAACCGAAAGTGTCTCAAAAGTAAGCTAATGCCAGATGGAAATG